AGAAAAACCAGGGAGGAAAAATGCGTATGGCTGTTGGGCTTGAACGCCAGCCTACACTCAGGATAGGATTACTGTCAGTGGGTGCTGACCAGTTCCGTCTGGTTAACCCTCAGAGATATAGGTGAGATATAGCTCGAGTAACACGTGTTAGTTTTGCAGAGTTCAGTGCTGCCCATTTCCATGGGAAGTGTGACAGAAAGGTACAGGCTGGCTTCAGCAGAGAGAAAGGGACAAAGTTAATATTTTTATGATTATAATCAGAGGACTACTCAAGCAAAGCAAAATTCAGCTAGCAATTCATTATGTCTCCATAGACATCTCTCCTGGGTTTGGGAGGAAAAGATGGGCGGACCACTCCAAAGAACGATATCTCAAACAGGCCCTTTCATGACTCAGACTGTCTGGTGTAGTGAATTGACTCAGAGACACGTAGGATCAAATATCCTGTACACCTTCAGGGTATCTTTTTTACTGAATTAATTTACACCATGTCCATACCAAACATTAGTAAGGTCAAAGTGACCTTACAACTAGTTGTTAAATTCCCTGGAGTCAGAGTAGCTCAACCTCAAGTGGCTGTCAGTCTAAATAGACTCTTGGTTAACCCAAACATGTTGCAACACAACCAGTGCCAAGGCCTCTCTGCCCTTCTGTCTAAGCATGAGAACTGAAAGGTGTTCATGGGATTCAAGAGAAATCATTCATAATTCAGCTCCAGCAAAGCCTCAGAGTGTGAGAGAGAGACCCTCTATTTGCACCACTGCATCTGCCAAAGCCTTTTTTAAAATCAGCGGTGCTCTCTTGTCCAGTGTGAAGATGAACAGAAATCTATAGATTTAAGTGCTTTCAGTGTTCATAAGGGATAAAACTTGTTTCTGGCTGTAATTTTGCCACAGTATTTTAGTTTTCTGAAGAGATAAAAAAGAGCAGTGGAAAAGTGCTTCATTTCCTAAAGCATCAGGGCACTTGTGGTGAGTCTCCCCAACCGTGGGCCTACCTGGTCCAGTCCA